ACTGAAGGCGTCCAGCACTCCCCCACAAGAATCCAAGGACTGTGTGCGCTCGCGCCGCCCACCACGGCCGCCGACCTCCAACAGTTCGTGTGCGCAACCAACTGGATGCGGTCCAGCATCCCCTGCTACACCGAGCTTGTGGCGCCGCTCCGCCAACTCCTCGACGCAGCGACCAAGCAAATTGGAAGTACGAAGAAGGCGAAGCTCACCCGCGTCCAACTCACTGCCGTTGGTTGGGACGTTGGCCATCTGGCCTGCTTCGACAAGATCAAGGAAGCTCTCTTGGCGATGGTTCCCATGGCGCACCCACGTGCAGACATGATGGTCTGCCTTTACACCGACGCAAGTGATGGCTTTCGCCACTATCGCCACTCAAGTACCATTTGAAGACCTGGCCCTGTCGTTGGAAGAGCAGCGCCATCATCCGTTGGCCTTTCTCAGCGGTGCTTTTACTGGCGCAAGCAAGCGGTGGCCAATCGTGAAGAAGGAAGCGTTTGCCGTTGTGGAAAGCTGCAAGCGGCTGGACTACCTTCGCATCCGCCCAGCTGGCTTCCGCCTTTTCACCGACCACAAGAACCCGCAGTATATTTTCAATCCTGCCGGCCAGTCCCCTAGCATGGCAAGGTATCAAGCGCACAAGTTGGAGCGCTGGGCCCTGGTGCTGTTTTCATTCCCTTACAACATCGAGTGCCTGCCCGGTGAAGACAATGTTTGGGGCGACCTGCTCAGCCGCTGGGGCACCGCCCAAGCCCAAGTGCCAACGAAGTCCGTCCGGCGCCTCCTGGCCATGGTGTCGCCCCTGCAGCAGCCCGACTTCGCCTGCCCCTGCCCTGCCGGCATCGTCAAGACTCAACAAGTGGGCGTGGCGTGGAATGAAGACAAGAACCTGTTCCTCGACAAGGAAGACCGCATCTGGATCCCACCAAGTGCCACGGACCTCCAGCAGGGGGTCTGCATCATAGCACACCAAGGCGCCGCGGGCCATCAACGGATCGAAGCCACAACCAAGGCCGTCCGCGATGTCTTCACCTGGAGCACCCTCGAAGACGATGTCAAGACTTTTGTCCAAGCCTGCATCCACTGCCTCAGCGTCGACGGTTCAGTGGTCCCGCGCCCGCTTGGATCGGCGCTCCATGCCGAGAAGACCCAAGAGCTGATCCACTTCGACTGGCTATCCATGCCCACGGCGACGAACGGGTGGCAGAAGATCCTCGTCATCAAGGACGAGATGAGCGGGTTCGTGCGACTTTGGCCCAGCGAGACAAGCGACGCCGCGACTACCGCCAATGGCCTCCTCGACTGGTTCATGACCTTTGGGTATGTCAATACCTGGGTGGCTCCCACTTCAAGAACGAAGTCATCGACAAGATCCGCAAGGCCGCCGGCACCCACCTCCACTTCACGACCGCCTACTGTCCTTGGGCGAACGGAACCGTTGAAGTAGTCAACCGACTGACCCTCCGCGCCGTCAAGACGCTTACCAGCGAATTGAAGCTGCGCGCGACCGACTGGCACCTCGTCCTGGCCCTGGTACAAGGCGCATTGAACCACATGCCGAGCGATCGACTTAGCGGCATGGCCCCAGTGACCGCCTTGACTGGCCTACCTGCGACGACACCCCTGTCAGCGTTTGTCAACACAGTAATCTGCCGACATCGACTGGCTCGACTCCACGCGCAAGAAGCACATGGACGAGCTCCACTAAGCGATGGAACAGCTGCACCGTGAAGTAGCCCCGACAAGCGCCAAGAAGCGACGCCAAGCCCGCGACCGCCAAGCCAAGTCCAAGGCCATCCAGTTGCAGAAGTTTGCAATCGGCGACTTTGTCCTCGTTGGCCAAGTGTCCCGCCAAAGCAACAACTTGTCCCTGCATTGGCGCAGCCCATACAAGATCGTCCGGGTCGTGGCTGACTATGCCATGGAGACCCAGCAGTTGGTGCAGCCTTACGATTTGTCCCTCCACCACGCCTGCCGACTCAAGATGAATTGCGAAGGCGGCCGCGATGTGACCGAAGATCTGGCGGACCATAACGCCTTTGGCAATGAAGGGTTCCATGTTGCCAAGCTCGGCGACGTCCGCGAAGAAAACGGCGAATACCATGCCCTTGTCCACTGGCTTGGCCTCGATGAAGACGAAGCCTCATGGGAGCTCGTGCGCTCCCTCTATGAATACATTCCCATCGTTTTCTGCCGCTGGGTTCACCAACACGAAGATCAAGAACAAGTGAAGAAAATGGTCGCGGAACTCGAGAAGACCCTCGGACACTCCCTTTAGGGGGAAGTATTCTTCATGGCGCTGCAGAAAGACCTATGAGCCTTTTTAGAGGTCGGCTCATGGTCTCATGAACGGTAAGGCCGTTAGTCTCCATTATGCGCAGCAGGCCGCCATTCGTCGTGCGGTTGTAGCCGTTGTCGTGCGGTTGAAAGATGTGCATTGTTGGCGCATTTTCATTGGACGAAATGATTAGACTTAAAATAGACCAGAAAAAGTAATTCGTAGTAAGAGACCGCAGTTTGCAATTTAATTCGGCCTCCGCAAGAGGTTCCTGTCCGGATAACGACGGGAGCGAAAACACATATCCATTGTTTGTAATGGTAATAGATAGCATTAACGAGCATTCTAATTCTACCATGATAGTCGAGATATGTACAGCAGGTCATGTCTGTAGTGATGTGATCCTGACTGAATAAGGCAATTATAGGTTATTTGGCAACGCTATGTTAGACCCTGTTGGTTTTCAGAGGAGCATTTAACCTCCACGTTCTGTTATACCCTGCATATATTGATATGAACAAGTACTTGAGGAGTAAACAGATTGCACTTCCATTATTAACTTAAAAGTACATCGAATGACATAGGATCGCCTATACGCAACTTACGGAGAGAATTTTGTACCCATGAACGACAACATGTCCCAACTGTCCTCGTGCAGCGGGAACTACCAGAAGCATTTGGGCAGGTCAAAACCCCCCATAGCTTTCATCTCCCGCAGGTTCTGGAGGATGGTTGCTTGGAACGGCATGGTACCGGCCGTGGGCTTGGTCATCGAGTTGACCACCCGGTAGTCGTTCGTCAAACGGTAATTCTTCAGCACGTCGTCGTCTGTCCACTGATCTGCTGTCTTTAGTGTCTTGCGGCCGTCGGGCTTAAGGACGGGGTTTACCGGACTGCACCATGCGCTTTGCTGGTTGCGCTTGATGACACCCGCGTCGCAAAGTTCTTTAGCAAACAGATTGAGGAACCTCTCTTCAAGGAGGTTGTGCTTCCGACCTTTACATCGGTACGGAACACATCCATCCTTAGGGGCCACCTTCAATGGTTTCACCCTTGCTGGGGGGTCAGACCCATCGTACTTGAGCCGCCATATGTCATGCTTTGTAAGGACACGCCACAAACCTTGCACATTTTCGATTGGAAATTGGTTATCGATGGCCTCGTTGATCAGGTCTTGGAGGGCCGCTTCCACTTCGTCCTTGGCTTCGGGCAGCTTGGCCTTACTTGCCTTGATACGGAGGGTGGAACGATGGGACTGCTCCTTTAGAGCGTCACCAACTTCCTCCAGGTCATCCTCGTCGTCCTCTAGCTGTAGGGTCGCCACCTGCCGATCGATGTCGATGCCAATCGCCTTAAGGGTGTCGTCGGAAGCTAGGAACTCTTCGCCTTCCGCCACCACATAGCATCGCCACTTGCCAAGGATCTTCACGGGGCCCGCTACCGTTTGCAGCTGCAAGGCCAAGTCCACGTAAGCGTTCGCTTGAAAAGGCAGGTTGTTGCATGCCATCCCGATCATCGGCTCCTTGAGCGTCACCATCATAAGGTCAGACTGTAACGTCATCAACTCTTCCAGCATCCGCTGGGGCAGAACGTTCTGGTCGGCGCCAGTATCGGGACAGTAGGGCACTTCGAATACTACGTTAAGTCGAATCCATCGCTGTTCACGGCCATCTTCGGCTATCATGGCTCTGACCGCTCGCTTCGCCTTCAATTCCGCCTTGCGTTGCTTATACTTGCCCTTCTGAAGGTGATCAGCTCGCGCTGAGTCTTCCTTCTTGTTTGGGCATTCACGCGCACGGTGTCCCGGTTGTTGGCAGACAAAGCATAGCGCGCCACGGTCGTCTTGGCCGGGGCCATACTTAGCTCGCTTGGTAGGTCGTTCACTATCTTCGAACGTGCGCCGGGGTACCATACTTGTCCGTCACGTCCACGTTCCACCGGGGACGGCTTTGTATAACCGCCTTTCGGGCGTGGGGCGTTGCCATTCTGATAGTACGCTTCACGTTGGTACTGTTCGTTCTTGAGTTGGACTCTGGTCTTGCCCGTTCGCTGTCCCTTCTCATCCCAGTCGCGCCCTCGCTTTCGATCGCCACCCCGTGATTTCATTACTAACTCCGCCTGGTACGTTCGTTCCAATTGTTCCGCCAGGATCTTGGAGAATTCCACCAGGGTACTGGCTTGGACTGTCTTGAACTGTTCTTCAACTCGATCGCGTACATCAAATGGGGTGATGCATGATGCCACAACCTTGATGAAGGTCTTCAGCATGTTCGGGGTCTTGAGCTGTGACTTCCATCCCGTCGTATCGATGATGTTGTTCAATCGCTCCATAAAGGACACCACGCGGCTTGCCACGTCGCCAAAGGGGTCCACACGCAATTTCTTGCATTGTTCCTCTTCTCCATTTCGGCCTTTGTGACGGTCCACTTGTTCGCCGGTTCTCCAATGATCTTGCATATGCGCTCGCGGAACTCACTTTCATCCAGGTCATCGATGTTGATGTCCCTCAGGTACAGGCAAGCAGCTTCAACCATGCTGCGATCAGCTGATTCAAGACAGCTGTAGCGCGCCAATCATGTCGCATTCTCTGGGCATTAGCCTTGAGCTTCTCTTCATACCGGTCACGTTTGTTTCCAGGCCACCAGAGAGTCACGGTGAACAGTCGTGATGGGGGGGTACTCGATGTCCTTTAGTACCAGTGAAGGTCCACCCTGATGTGGACCACTCACTGGAGTCCATCCTGAGTTCCCAGGTTGTGTTGTCCATTTCTGCGCCGTTGGCTGCCACACGGGTGAGTCAAAAGTAGCTGCAGTCGACGCGCATGTTCCGCCTTGGCCTGGGCCACGTAGTCGACTTTCTTGTTCTTTGGTTTCGCTTCACGATTCCGTCGACGTCGCTCCGCATTGGCCTTCATCGTCGTAGGAACTATCTGGCGTGCCATCGGGTCGATACGGTTTCGCCGCCTTGGCGCGCTTTCGCCGCTTGTTGGCGCTCTTGATGTCGAACCAGATCGGTCTTCTCATCATCGTAGTTGTCCAACTCGATATAGCCACCTTCTAATGATTTGGGCATCGAATGTGGCGCAGATCGTTCACTTGTCTTGGGCGATTGTTTTTCTTCCTTGGTTTCGTCTTCGACCGGCTGCATGGTCGAGGTCCCACTGGTTGGGACCATCGCCAGCTCCGCTGTCAGTACCTCTTCTTCTGTTTCTGCCCCTTCCTGTTCGGTCACCGCGTTCGGCTTCAAACGTTCGGAGCGTCTGCCTTTGGGCGCCGTTCGCTTGTCTTTCGGGGACGTGCTTCGGCTTCGCGTCATTGCTCTTAGTCTCGCAGTTGTAGGTAACTGGAACTAAAGTTAACTTTGTGTTGTTTCCCGCACTGCGCCAACACAAACAACCAAATGGGGGAGCGCCGCCTCCCGTGAACCACGCACTTGATTGTTATGTCCGTTGCAGAGCAAAACTAGGAGTGAGCTTCTGTAGAAGTGGTAGGTGGTCCCAGGTGGCCTCTGATTGGCTAACCATGGTGACCATTCCCAACCGACACTTTCACTAGCTCCTAATACTACTACTAGTACTACTAGAGTGTATCTAACGCGTCGGTTCACAAGATTGGCGCCAAGGGACCCCATCGAGAGTCCCTGTGTGTCCTGGCGGGGCATGGCTGACAGCCACCAACCACAACAGATACTGCTTATAGTTTGACCAAGAACAATGTAGTCTCAAAGGTTTTTTGCTGCAGTATACAATTTTCTATATAATACAAAAGACGCGTAGCAGAAAGAAAAAAACATGATGACCAGAAACGTATTCTTTGGACAAAGATGCAATTTTCGATTGAAGTATAATGGAATACAATTGTGTAGATAAATCGAGTTTCAATGCAGTTTTTACCTTTTGTATTGTATGTAAACATAGATCCACAATACAATGTGTCTGAGGATCATCAGCACAGAAGAACATTATCGTTTAGAGTGTTTCTCCATTTTGCCCAATCGCCGCAGGCCATAATTGATGTCACTCACAGCTCATCTTCTCTTCATTGATGGGTCTCAAGTGTCGTTGCCATCTCCCGATGGAAGTAAAATGGACAGTGTGCTCTCAGTTCTAATCAAGCGTATTCAGGCTCCAACTGAGTCGATAGACATCCAGCAGTTAACACCATTCCGTGCCATTGAGACCTTGATGCTACAGCATCACATCAATAACAGATAAGACCACATGAAATAAGTCGATACATTAAAGTCTTCTCCATAGCACGAAGACTACGTTACGATTCTAAAACGTGGGATGCAAAGTCGCCAAGGCATGCAACAACTTCGACGTCGCCAGCTGTGAGGGCTGCCACTACCTTATTCGATAGCGTCACTGCGAGTTCAACCGACTTAATCGCATCCACCCGTCCATACAACATCATAACCGCCTCATGAGCCGTCACAATCTCCTCGTACTTGGTGTTGTCGATGTCTTGCATACGGATCCCGAGAAACTCTGCGATAGCATACTGCGCCTTGCCCAGGGTACAACACTTTGAGACCCGAACATGTGACGTTTGCGCCTTTTTGTCTTCGGTCGTAAACTGCACCACAGGTTTGAATAGGTGCTGTGTCGGTGATGGAAAATGATAATATCGTTGCAGCATTTTCCAACTCATCGCTTTTGGAAGCACAGACGATTGGATCGGCAACACAGGATCGTTGCAAGCGGATCCAACCATGACATGGGAGCTACAGGGTGGGTCTGAGCGTTGTTCGAGGTGAACAGGGAGATAGGTTACTTGGGGGGGCAAATGACCAAGCAGGCGTGCTTCCATGTCATTAATTCGGGCCATGACACGAGCTTCCAACACTGGATCGTTGCTAGTAGGTACAACCACGACGTTTGGGGTACTCGAAGGATCAAAGCGTGGTTCGATGTGAAGAGGGAGGGTGCTCGGAGGGCCAAAACGATCAAGGAGGCGTGCTTCCATGTCGTCGATTCGGGCCATGACACGACCTTCCATGCCCTCAAAGATACGACTTTTACACGTTCGCCATAGCTAATTGCTCCCCGTCCTCGTTCGGTGCAACCAGTTCAACCAGTTCCGAGAGCTGTTCATGAGTGCTGTAGATCCACGTGGTCGGGCAGCCGGCTAAGTGCTTCCGGTCCGGGAACGTCGCGTCAGCAAGCACTTCTTCTTCGGCAACATAAATGCTATCGAGAAGGTATTTCATGATGACATCGCACTTGTCTTGCTCCGACCAACCACCCCACCACTTCAACATCTTCAAGCTCCAACGCTTGTCTTTGTCCTCGTGTAAGAACATCCATTGTGCAAAACCACGACGGAACGTATGCGTTGTTATGTATACGTTTTCGAAGCATTTCAGCACTGCACCGTGGGCTGTCGAGCAAAAGTCGACGTCACGGAGCATGGTCGCGATAACTTCGTTCAAGATATTGATGACAGATCCCTCCGACATGGCATGACCCCAGTTGAATACGGACGCAGACAGGTTTGAGTACTTTCGTGACAACGGTATTTGGGGGAACACAAGGTCCTCGTTGAAGTTGTGCTTCATCGCAGTTTCGACGTGTTCGATCCACGTGTCGAAGTGGTGCTTGGCACAAATATCACTATCCCACAGCTCTTGGCAATGGTGCAAACGATATGTGCGGTCATTTCCGGACTCGGTTTTTCGGTCGTGGAAGGTGTACTCATGGTACTCGAGACGCACATTGGGGTCTTGTTGACTGGTCGTGGACTTCGCAAGAGAAAAGTCTTTCCTGCATAGACCAAGGATTCACTCATTCTTGCCCACGCGTACCAGCTCAGCGAAGTGACAGCCTTGAACCACAGATTGAATGATTTCGATGTGTCGTTGGAATGGTCCAAGAAAGCGTACAGGGTCTTCGGCATTGGTTTTGTCATGGGGGCCGCACGTCGCGTTACGTGAGTCGCCTTCTTTTCCTTTTGCAGACCCTTGAAGCAACCCAGCACAACAGGAGACGTCATGGGATTTCCATATCCCTGACCCTCCTTGACACACCACGAACTGGTTCCATATCCATCGTTGTTGTACTTATAGAACTCCGATATTCCTACGCGAGCCTTGTTGGCAACGTTCATGGAGGGTGAGTTTCCCGCATCATCCGGCAGAATGAGCTGACCCACGTAACAGAAAATGACTTCGGGAAGCCGCGCAAACCGCGTCAATCGTGGATCGTGGGCGTACTCTGGATTGTCTTGGCGCCATGAAACGACCTTACTCCAGTTTGAGTTGTTCTCTTTCTTCGTGTTGAGGGTGACACGCTTGTCAACCATTGCTTGACTGAAGGCATTACTTTAGCTCGGTGCTCGCTGTCATTGTTCGTTGACCCGGCTTTAAACCGTTTTCCTTTGGGTGCTGTTGTTGCGCAGCGCTCCTTCCTTTCGGGCACTCTCGTTGTCTTTGCTTTGGATGCTTGCTCGTCGTTGTCCATGATCCCACCGCCGTAACCGATACACTCGTCAACACTCGTTGACACGTTACCTTCATTTGTCGGCGTCAAACATTTCACCTCGGCGTCAAACATTTCACTCACTTTGGCGTCAAACATCTACTTCGGCGTCAAACATCTACTTCGGCGTCAAACATAATACTCCGGCGTCACATTTCGAGGATAAAATATTGCCACATAAGAATTGCTGAGGACCACATAGGAATTGCTGAGAGCCACATAAGAATTGCTGAATCGCACACAGTTATTGCTGAAGAACACTTGAAATTTGCTGAATTGAATATAGAGTATTATACACAACGAGATCCTCTTCGGCAGGCAGTGCGTTATGAGAATTTCTGGACACATGTGACTATTATCAATGTGATTGTTTATTAAACTCACATGTGGAGGAAGGGTGGGGAAATCACGAAATACCGTAACCTTATCGACGGCCCTATGACCAACCACTGATTGATGGCATAAAGCGGACGCGAATCAGGATGTAGTGAACTGTACTGCATGCTACCAGACTCCCACAGCAACTTTGCCGGCTTGTGGCGTAGACTGACACACCTAGCCTTCGCCAAAAGCCGCCAAAGTTCCACATATATCGTGCTTCGTGCTGCTTCTGTAAAAGACATATTCTATAGTCGTGATTTATGTACTGCCTAGATATAAAAAGAACCTTGTTTGCGGTACTAACGGATGGCTGAATGCGCAAGGGGATCGATCACTTACATACCCATGGACCCACGGAGCAGTGTGTGTGAGGT